CAATGACGAGAACGTCCGCAGACGCCCAAGAAAAGTGGTTAGCTGTTGTTGTTTTTTTCGTGTTTTTTCAAACGAATTCGATTGCCTGCGCGTCAGCCAGCACCGTGGCACATGTCCGCACCCACCAAAAACCAAGACGTAAAAGAGAGATCCCCGGTCCCTCCCGCGGAAACAGCAGTGCAGAGGCGCAGTGAAGCATGTCCCCCTACCGGGCAAACACGCAGGCCCAACGCAATCGTCAAGAACAAACCAACAAAACAACAACGGGAAAACCAAAAAAAACACATCCGTAAAGCAGTAAACCAACAAAACACTGAACAAATGAACACAGAAAAAAACGGTGATTCGCCTCCAGTCATTGCTAGAAGCGAACAATGAAAAACAAAAATGGACTGAATAAAAAACATGAGGACCCCGTTGTAATGGCGCCGAGAGGAGTGCGCAATTTGTGGGTCAAAAAAAGAAACGTCGTGTGTAAAAAAACACACACACACAAAATGTGTAACTACATGAGACTTTATTTACTTCTGAAAGCGCGTGGAGAAACGGAGATGTTCTCAGTAGAAGCACAAACTCCCCTCCACCGGGGCCCACTCAGCACAGGGCCGCAAAGCCCCATAGCCCCAATAGCAGCAGAAGCAGCCGAGACACACACCCACGCACTGTGCCGTCACCCCTTCCTGAATTGGGCCTCACACGTGTAAGGTTGTCGAAAGCAACAGAGCTGTCACCAGAAAGAGAAATGCTGGGTGTGTCCTTCGCAAGAATCGCGCTGGTGCTTTCGGATCCAACAGCCGGCGATGACCCCGACTCCTCACCAGCACTGTGATTGCCTTTATGGGGCCCCTCTGGTAGAGGCCCTTTAGGATTCAAACTGTCACCAACCCTCTTTTCTCCAGGTTTCATCTTGGAGGCAATCTCCCCATCATTCCCCAGCGTTGTGAGTGGCTCCTCAGCAGCCGGTGTTGGAAGTGAGACTTTGCTGGCACTGAGGCTCGTGAGCCCATTATCACCCAGTGCGTAGATGTACAACAGGACACTGCCCACCGTCACGTCAACCTCGCCTGTCCCCTTAGCACCGTCGCCGCCAACGTAGAAGTCCGAGACACCGCGTGAGGTGTACGCACGGGGCGGAAGTTCCTCCTGAATAAGCTTATTATTGTCAACGTACACATACACCTCATCCCAATCCATTTGAAGTGCCACTTGATACGTTCTGCCAGGCTGCCACGTAACATCTTTATCTGACAACCCCCGAGACTTTCCGTTGACAGTCACTCCCCACTTCTTGTCCTTCGTGTAGAACAGACCAACAAGCACAGTGCTGGCATTGTCATTCATCCTCACACCCATCAAAGGAACAGGACCCTCTGTCTCCGGCACCACGTTAATCATCACCGTCGCTACAAGAGTGAACTCATTGTTCACAAAGTAGTACGGCTGGTTCTGCCCCAGTTTGCCCACCGGCCACTCCGCCCCCGCTGCTGCGCCTCGGAACCTCACGCCCCCCCCCGTGCCTGCCACATTCCCACCATGCACCGTTGCGTTCACTCCAAGGTACTCGTCCTTCCATAAATTCCCCTCCAAACTGTTGGACCAAAAACCAGCCAGCCCTTCCGTTGGGACAACACTTTTACAAACATTCTTTATCCGCGGGTCAACAGTGCCAGTGGAAGCACAGTTTTTGAGTGCGGTGTCCACATCATTCCAGGCTTTCACCACGCTCTTTATCCGCTCCAGCTGCTCAGTCAGGTTCACGGCGACAAGACTGTATGAATCTCCGCTCTTCTTCTCGTACAGTAAAATCAACTCCTTCTTGTTGGCTCTGTACAGCAAGGAGCTGGCGGCGGCATCATCACCTTCGCGAGACATCGGCCCAACGTCGTGCACACGGACATTGTCTGTCATCCAAAGATGCAGCCGATCCTCTCCCTTCTCATCAGAATACACCGGCGTGGTGAGCAGCATCACCTTCTTTCCATCGATGGTTGCTGTGATGAAACCACTTCGCGCGCCCTCCCCTTTTTGATTACGTGAATTGCCCCACACTTTAAAAATTGGTTCACTGCCCGGCAAAGAGTACAAAGGTGCAAGAGTACTGTATACATGATAGGAGCCATCCGTACAGGGAGCCATCATGAAGATGCGTCGGTCATCGACTTCGCCCCACTCCACAATCGATGGATTGTGGCAACCCTCACCCATCGGATCGAGCAAAGACTCCCATTTATTCTCTGATGGGGTGAAGTGCACGGCCTGCAAAACGTTCTTTCCATTCCTTGTGGTCTGCATGGGAAACACAAGTCTGTCGTCACTCATCACAGTACCCGACCCTCCGACAGCAGATAAATGAGTCAGGGGTGTAACAAACACTCCGAACAAAAACTCCACCGCATAGGTCTCGTTCCACTGGACCTTCTTCTCTTCACCCTCAGTGACACTCCCCTTCACCAGCACAATCTTACATCCACTTCGATCAGCCTCTCTGGTCTCCGGTGTTGCACGGCTGCAGCTTCCCAGCAGCATAAAGACACTATTGCCACTCACAATTGTCGTTGGTCGCGATGTATCCCTCATTTCGTTACCACCTTCCTTCAGCAGCTGTGTGTGAAAGGAACCTGTGCCCGCACCCATTGGAATCTCAGTCGGTTCTGGTCCAATTACCTTGAGGTGCTGTGATACGATGCCAGTAAAGCTGTCAACTCCATTCTTGCACTGAGCCTCAGCAACGGCAAACACAGCACCGTCCACCTCCACAAGGCTGGGGGCACGCAGCGAGCGAACTGGCCCTTCGACGCATTGCATTTCCTCCCATTTGGCACCAGTTATCGGTGTCATCTCTTCAAATAAATTAATGGCCGTCCCTGGGATACTCCCCGCAGCTTGACTGCCACAGCATGTCAATAGAACAAACAGCAGCAGAAGCACTGAATAAGAAAACAAATTCCAGGACATCTTGGGCATGTGTCGCTGCTCACTCACACTCTCTTCCCTCGTTGTGGTGGATCCGCTCAGGCAGTAAGCGCGAGTGTGTGTGTGTGTGTGTGTGTGATGGTGGTGACTGTAGAGCTTTTCAATGTGCACAACAACAAGTAGCGTTTGGTGTCTTTTCTTCGTGTGTTGAGGAAAAAAAAGAAAAGAGAGGTGAAACCAAAAAAAAAAAAACGATGGGCACCGCCCGCGCCCACAGTTGGGCATCGAACAAAGAACAGTGACAATCCATAACGAAGGCCGCACCGACGAACGCGCGAGCCGCACTATCACACACTCACCCCGCCCACAAGACACGCCAGACGCAAAGAAGACGGCGGTAGCAGCGACTGTTGTGCGCAGCCCGAAGAAACACCCACCCGCACCCGCACGGAGAGTCCGCAGTGCGGGATGCCCCCGCATAAATAAAAATAATACAAAACTAATTCATAAGCACCTCGCTTACCGTCTCCCCCGCCCAGCCCCTTCAAACCCTGCCAGCAGCAACACGCAGTGCGCAATGCCGGCGGGACCTCCCATCACGACCTCCACAAAATCCCCAACGCCTCCCACTTCCCTCAGCACACTGCAGCAGGAGTGGGGCGCAATATTTTAAACTAAAAATAAAAACAATAAAAAGCATTAAAAATAAACCCTGAGAAATAAGAGCAGCAGCCCCCTTTCCTGCTGCTTCGTTCCGCTTGCAAGCGAGGGCGACGTCAGCGCAGCCGCAGCCTCAGACTGCCCGGTCAGTGCGTGCAGCCCAAACAAGACGGAACAGGCGCATGCGCCCAGGACGGCAACCCAACAAAAGAGAGACGCCAACGGCGTTTGCTCGAGGCTCTCAGCGGTGCATGCGGCACACCCCATTGGAGCCGCACGCCAACCAAAAAAAACGATGGCACCCAAAAAAAAAAAAAAAGAGAAAAACACCACGCCAAGACCCAAAAACAATTTCAGAAATTCGGTTTGCCCCTGACCTCTGGGCTGTGGTGGGCGCCGCATTTGCTCTCCTGCCTGTGAGCCCACTCAGCATGCAAAACTTACCCTCTCGCCCAAACTCTCTGCAGCAACAAACTGGGAACAGCAAGGAGATATCACCAATGGAATACTGCCGGCGTATACCCACAAGGCGCCATCATTCCCCACGCAATTTTACTCGCAACCACAACAAAAAAAAAGGTGCTTCTGTGGTAGCGCTGGCCATAATAATCACTTGGCGCACGACAGAGCGAGTCCCTAATTACGCCTCCTACCCACACACAAACACACTCGGCAATATATCATACTCCCTAAAATATTTCACCAGTAAACTCAAGCTGCGTATTCCCCTCCTCCTTTTTCTTGTCCATCTGGGTGTCGCCCACGTTGGGTTGGTCTCCCACGTTGGGTTGGTCGCCCACGTTGGGTTGGTCTCCCACGTTGGGTTGGTCTCCCACGTTGGGTTGGTCTCCCACGTTGGGTTCGTCGCCCACGTTGGGTTCGTCATCCACTTCTGAAATTCTCAGCTGATACCGCTACCTGGCACTGACGCACCTGCTGATTCCAAAATGCCGCAATGGCCTGAGGGTCCTCATGCTCATTGCTGCCCGCTACATTTGCGTGCGTGACGACAACACATTTCTGCCACACGTTTATTGCCGTACTGTCCTCATGCTGCACGTAAATAATCCCCCACGACAAACCTTCCGCAAAAGTTTCCCAGTCATTAAAATAACTCCGTGGAAGACTGTTGAACCGCCTCACCGTGCTGGTTCTGGTGCCATGCTCAGCCCTCGTCGTCTCACCTGCACCCCAACCATCGTCCTCCGCGGTGCACCAACGAAGAAAAAGGCGTCCACAAGCGGGAAATTTCTGCTCTCCGGTAGGTATAGCACCTCGTATTGTGCATCCAACCTCGGAGGAGTGTGGTCCAGCGCTATTAATGCAACGGGTATGCTTGGATGCTTTTCGGGGTTCGATTGCAGCACACATCTCTGTTGCTGACGACGTCCTGGTGGAGGCAACTCCTTGAGGCCCGGCATTATATTTTACATAAAGACTCTACGCAGGAATACGTGCAGAGTGTACCGCTCCAAAAGTTCCGGCAACAACACTTTCCGGTACTTCAATAGTCGATAAATAATGTCATTCTTCTCATCCACTTCGAGCAACCTTGCAATTAATTCGCTTTCAATGGAAAAACAGACCGGCAGGTTAACAAACTCCTCAACATCTTTTTGTGTTATTAATCTGAGAACCTTCACAAGTTTGTGAGAAGCGTCATTCGAGGGCCACATTCCCATGCCCCCAATCATCCCATAATGTACAGCATTTGAGGCGTCGATAGCTGCCAGGACGTTATCGATTTCCTCCACGCGGTCCTTATATTCATTGTCGTGAAAGATGCATCGTGGAATCTGTCCGACGTCATCCATGCGTCTTTGCATCCTTCTCCAATACTCCACCTGCTCCTCTTCAGTCGTATTGCGTGTCTCCCACGCACACATCGCCTTCACGTCGTTTTCATCGGGGCAATTCATGATGATTTCGATAGCATCCGCCTGCTTCGCCCATTGTTTGAAGTTATCTTCGTGCGGGGATGACAACATAATGATGCCCCACTCAGGGGAGGGCACAACATCATTCGATGGTTCTTGAAATTGTCTTGCCATATCGATGATGATATACCCCTTCATTTCAGTCGTAGCCAAATTTATCATAGCCCTTCCAATATTACACCCACCCGCGTATATTGTCACCGTTCGTGTCCTCTTGTCAAACAAGTATGCGAAATCCCTTCCAAAGCATTACACAACCACATGGAGCTTCGTGGCATCGTAGTGCAGCAGCTGATAAAGGAGGTAGGAGCCAGCCGCCATTGACTTCCCTACCCCGGGGGTTCCAATCAAAAGACGACGTCTCATTTTAGGTGCGTCTCTCTCTGCAGGGGAAAACACTCCTTTTACATCACCCTCGACGATCTTCCACACCCGATGCACCTCAATGTTAATGCAGCAGTCGGCAACAGGCACTGCATGCTCCAGCGAGTACGGTCATTGCTTTTCAGAGGAAAGGATCATGAGTCGTGGGCGTGGTGGACGGAATTGCCCCTCACCACCCACTGAGAAAAAAGTACGCACAGTCTGCGTGTACTCCCATAACTCCTGTGGCCGTTGGCCCTCCATCACCTCCATGTCTTCCCCTTCGCCCTCGGGAAATCCCACGACATGACCCCACGTTGCGTTAAATTTCGGTTTCCCGTGTTGCCCCTTCCTCCTACGCCAGTTGAAGAGCTGCCTTCAGTTTTGTTCGTGTAATAGCAGAGACAATACTCCTTATCTGTAAATTCCTTCCAGTCTCGCAGCGTGCCCATCATGCGCTCCGTAAGCTTGCGTGCATCTTCAAAAAGCTGATACCCTGGTGGAAGTGAGGATTTCCCCTCACGGCGCCTCTGCTCTGTAACGTACCTGTCTGGCCCACGCACAAACACCTCCATCACCACATTTTGGCTTTCACCCACCGCTCTGTTGGGGCCAACGTACTACCGAAGGAAGTCGTTCAGCAAAATTATATTGATTTGGCCAACCCGCACATTACGGACATCCTCGATAGAGCCTGCAAGCGTCCTCCTTGGCCGCTGCAGCGCTCCCTCCACCCTTCGGCACTCTGTGGGGGGCTCATACGAGCCGCCAGACAGCCCCGACCCCGACAAAAGCCGCTCTTGTAATAGAGAAGGTAGGGAAGATCTTGCACCCCTAAAAAGCCTCACCCACCTGTTTACAGACATCATTCCCTTTATTTTTATTTTGTTTTCCTTCGTATTTTGTTGACTTGGCCTTAGCTGCAGCACAATACAAACAACCAGTC